TCATTTTCTTCATTATGTCCAGCGACGTAATCGACAGAGAACTGTTGCGCTAACCAGAATCTGTTAGTCTTCGTCAGATAAAACATTTGCGCAAGTGAAGACCAGGAAAGTGGGGCGTTGAAGAGATTTGGCTCTTAGTAATCCGTAATTTCCTTCTCATTAGGAGGGGAACAGACAGTGATCAAGTTAAAGACATGTTTATCAAGATGAAGTTCTCCTCATTTAGCGAGCAAGGTCCTTCTTAGTTTCTGACGCTGTCGGCTTACGCATCTTCAAGGTTAATGTGCTTGAATCCATGGCATTATTACCTGGTAGTGGAGAAGCTAATGCCACTGTTCAGTCGGCTGGTGTAGGAGCTCGGCTTGTTTGCAAATAATTCGCGAACGGGAGACTGCCCTGATCTGAGCAGCCGGGCTTTTTACCTGATCCGATGTCTCGTTTTCACTCAAGAGAGAATTTGAAAGAGAAACTGGTAGGATGGAAGGACAAACTAGCGTTCGAGCAAGTTCAGCGATCCAAAATATTTATCGAAGTCCATTTTTCACCGTTCCATTGAAATTCAGTGTTGATCCTGAATATCCGGATGCATTCAGTATTGGCCTTTGTCTAAGCCGAAGTATGGTCGTTGTAGCAGCACTCTTAAGCATATAGGACAATATAGAAATCTTCATTTGTGTTATTCTGTGAAACAACATGTTGCGAGCGATGTTAATCATTAAATGGCAGTCAGTGGTGAAAACCATTGAGTTTATTCCACCTGACTGTGATTTCGACTGCATTCCTTATGAAGATAAGTATTCCTGAAATTTTTCGATCACTGTCACTGTCTTGTCGAGTTCGACACGTAAACCCGTTCAACTTGCACATAGCCTGGGCTCGCCATAGTTTAGTTTAGTCATCTAATTTGCGAGGGTCCCTACGGATTCGTGTTCACTCTCTTACTGCCTTGAATTTTGAAGATGCCCGTTTTGATTTAGTTGTTTTGCCATGCTTCTGGTTAAGATGTCAACAGCTCTCCGCCTAAAAATTTAAAAGAAGCTCCTGTTCGCCTTCTCAGAATGTATTTTAATTGCATAAATCTTGACAAAACATTGCAATATATAATGGTCCTAACGAACGATTGAAACTCATCAATTGATATGTTACATTATTCATTGAATTCTTCTATAGTTAATGAATGCTTTTGTTTCAAGGTCGCTAGCATGATGTGTCGGCAACAGAAGGAACTGAGAGAAAGGGAAAATCGGTCTCGAATCGCTGCTGAAAAGGAGCTTCGTAGGATAGCATCTTTTATATCCAAGGAGGTTAAGCACTTCTGGAATAATATCGAAAAGGTGAGGGTTTTTAACATGCTTTCGGTAAAGTATATTCTGTTTATGTTCGCAGATTGTACAATATAAAACGGACAGTATAGTGAAAACGAAGCAAAAGCGAGCCCTTGACTTACATCTGGACTACATCGTTGGTGAGTCTGAAAAGTTGAGCAGCTTGGTGCAGGAAGACCTTAGCAAGGTTACGGGTTCAAAGCAGGAAAACGATGAAGGTATTTAAGATTCTTAATGCCACTTACCTCTTTCTTAAACGCGGGGTTTTACTCATGTTATTTTCAAGACTTTGAGTTTGAAAGCTCGGAAGACGAAGAGTCGACAGTCGAAGAAGCTGAACAGCATGAAAAAACAAGCGATGTACTTGACGAGATCGAAATGCTTAAAAAAGAAAGTCAGATGGACATCGATGAGTTACTAGACTCATTGCCGAATGACTACTTTGATCGCGACGAAAACTCTAGTTCATCGTCTGATACCACCCAGGTAAGGGTCCTAGGGTCTGTCGTGCAAAACATGTTGATGAGTTCCTTAGCCCGTTTGCAGTTTATTCTCGATTGTTGGCTGCTGTATGATCAGATTCGCTGCTAAATGAAGGTGGCTATTTCAGCTTTATTCAATTTTAAATGTGACTTCAACCCTAAACAAATTTAAATTTCATCAGTTGCAGCATTCGCACTTTAATTAACAATAACAGAGTGTGCAAGTAGTTATACAGAGATTCAAGCGATACAACCAGGTGGCACATGCTGTATATTAAATTTCTTTATAACTGAAGGCACTAACGTTTGAATTGTTTTACGGGGCGCTGATAATTGAAGTTACCGAAATCACTATTCAGCTGTATAAGCATTCAGTCTTTGGGTATCAGTGTATTGTTTTGTTTCCTTCTTTCACTTTTTTTCTGCTTTTAGACCTGTAAATCTGATATTTCTTCATGGATGAGTATTTTGGATGGCAATGGCAGTTATTCTGTTGAGATTTCTAGTCTGTGAGTT